GAAGAGCGGCCTGCTCCAGTACCAGGTTCACTGCCTTCATCTTTCCCAGCCACATACATCAAACCATGCCCTCCACAGCCCTCTCCATTATCTCTCTTGCTCTGTCCCTTCCCTTCATCCTCTGACTTTGACCTAGTTCTGACCCCTGAGAGTCAGAACTGAGGCAGCAAAATTTAGTCTTGTCTACATAGCTGAGAAGCCTTCAGGTGGCACTGATGCTACGTTGCTAGCGCCACAATATCTGTGTCATCCACTGATTTGATGTTGACTCTCTTTATACCCAGGCAACTCACAAAGCAGCCGGGATCGGCTTTAGGGCCAGACAAAAACCTTCAGAAGAGTCTGCCTTGATGGGCTGGAAGGACCATTCCCTGAGGATGAATGAATGGATGGATGCAGCTGCACTCACTAGCGGGAAGTGCTCTGCAGAACCTGGGTTAGGAAATGTTGCCTGGGCTTCCAGGTAGAGCTCGGCAGTGTGCTGTCATCTGGATAAATACTTTTTCCTCATATTCCTATAGTCTGAGAAATATTGTGCAACACTGACAATTCCCTGGAGCAGATTCATTCCAGACTTCCCTGCACTGAGATCAGTGTGCATGCCTTGGTCCAAACTATCTGAGTATCCTCATAATTTCCCACAAAATAAATATTCAACATTCTGATTTTAATAGACCATCAGCCTACAGTAGTTCCTGAGGCAGCTGTTTAAAATACATTTCACTGGGTTATGAAAACTAAATCCAACCCCTTATTCCATATTTATGTACAACCATAGACTGATCACAGAGGGGAGCTGAAGAGGCATTGAGAACATAGGAGACCAGGTAAGCCCTTGGGTTCAGAAATGCACGCATCTCCGAGTAGCCTTTAACAGTCCCCTAAATTCAGTGAGACTTTTCACAGGTGGAAAGGCTGAGGAAGATTTTGACATTTCACTGTACTGCCACGCTTTCAAACATAAGAAAAGGTGAATTTATGAAACTCTGGTGCTAGCATGCAAAGGTGGGCTCTGCCTGCCCTGAAGGGTCTGCACACTTGGCAGGACAATCTTGCAAGTGCGTGTGTTGGATGAACTGGTCATGAGCAGAGGTATGTGACAGCCCCTGTTGCCACCGATGTATTACAGTTATAACAATTTCAACCTTGTATATACCAGCACGAGCCGCTAAACATGAACTGTAGAACTCTAAAACATATCCTTTTTTTCAAAGCCAGAATTTACCTTACCTACTATAAAATAATAGCAACGATTACACTTTTCCAACTATCTCATATTGAATATGCATTTTGATTTCCATAGAAAGCATGACTAAAAGATCTATCACAACAAATGTATATTTATGTCGACAATGCAGCTATTTCTAACACTCTGACATTGAGTTACTCTTTTCTAAATGGAACTACACAAATACAAACCTAATGTTTCATTCTCTATTACCACATACTAGTCTGATGGAGAAGATTTTCAGGCTGGAAAATTCTTTTTGGTTGAACTTATGCCAGGATTAATCCCCTTTCAGTTAATCATTTATATGAATGGGTAATCTGCAGAGTTCATGCAAGGCCTGCAAACTATATTAATTACTAGAAACCTAATTAGAAATCAACAGA